TCTACAGTGCCTCTATGATGAGCTCCACACTGACTCTATGATGGACTCTACAATGACTTTATGATGATTCAATGATGGTCTCCATGCTGACTCTATGATGGACTCTATGATGACTCTGTAGTAGCCTCCATGCTGACTCTATGATGAACTCCAAAATGACTCTATGATGACTTCATGATGGGCTCTATGCTAACTCTACAATAGACTCTATGATGATTCTACAATGATGCTACGATGGACTGTACAATGATTCTACAATTACTGCATGATGGGCTTCTGCTGACTCTATGATGGGATCTACAATGTCTCTATGATGGACTAAATGCTGACTATATGATGGACTCTATGATGATTCTATAATGACTCTATGATGACTCAATGATGGGCTCTGCGCTAACCCTATGATGGATTTTATAATGACTTTATGATGACTCTGTGTCAAGCTCCTTATTGACTCTACAATGAACTCTACAATGACTTTTTAAAGGCTCTATGATGACTCTATGATGGGCTCTATGCTGCCTCTAAAATGGACTCTACAATGACTCTATCATGGGCTCAATGCTCACTCTTCGATGGGCTCTATAATGACTCTTTGATGAATCTATGACTGGGTCCATGCTGACTATACAATGGACTCTATAATAGCTTGAAGATGACTCTATGATGGACTCTACAATGATACTATGATGACTCTATGATGGGCTCTATAAAGACTCTCTGATGAATCTGTGACTGGATCCATGCTGACTCTATGATGGACTCTACAATGATTCTACGATGGACTCTACAATGATTTTATGATGATTCATTGATGGGCTCCATGCTGACTCTGTGATGGCCTTTATAATGACTCTATGATGGGCTCCATGCTGACTATATAATGGACTCTATAATGGCTCCAAGAGGACTCTATGATGGACTCTACATTGATTCTATGATAACTCTATGATGGGCTTTATAAAGACTGTCTGATGAATCTGTGACTGGATCCATGCTGACTCTATGATGGACTCTACAATGATTCCACGATGGGCTCTACAATGACTTTATGATGATTCAATGATGGGCTCCATGCTGACTATATAATGGACTCTATAATGGCTCCAAGAGGACTCCATGATGGACTCTACAATGATTCTATAATGACTTTATGATGGGCTCCAGGCTAACTCTACAATATAGTATATTATGACTCTACAATGACTCTATGATGGACTCTGTGATGACTCTACAAAGAGTCTATAATGACCTTCATGCTGGCTGTGGTTGACTTTGTAATGACTCTATGATGGCTATGATAGACTCTATAATGACTCTAGGATGGACTCCGTGTTGACTGTGATGGACTTTGGAATGAGTCTGAGGTGTGTTTCTACGATGGACTCTACAACTACTCTAGGATGGACTCCGTGTTGACTGTGATGGACTTTGGAATGACTCTGTGGTGTTTCTACGATGGACTCTACAATGACTCTAGGATGGACTCCGTGCTGACTGTGGTGGACTTTGTAATGACTCTGTGGTGTTTCTACGATGGACTCTACAACTACTCTAGGATGGACTCTGTGTTGACTGTGATGGACTTTGGAATGACTCTGTGGTGTTTTCTACGATGGACTCTACAATGACTCTAGGATGATGCCCGGATGGGTGAAATGCATTAGAGAGGTGATCTCCATGTGGGATTTGAAAGATACAGCAGGGGTGTCCCTAGGTAGGTGCAGGGGGTGGGCGCCGCACTGGGTGACACCTATTGCACAGGGTGACACCGGACCCGCTCCACAAAAAGGTACGTTTTAAAGCAAGCCGGCGATCTCTGCAGGATGGATGGGATTTGCAGATTGAGCGTAATGGATCGGACTCTGATCCATTATATCCTCCCCAATCCACAGATCTTATCCATCCTGCGGGGATCGTCGGAGGGGGTGTCACCAAGTATTCCGGCACCGGGTGACACCAACCCTAGGGACGCCCCTGAGATGCAGTATACAGTTGTGACCAAAATTATTCAACCCCCACTGAAATTGAGTGTTTTGGCCAGTTTGACATTGCTTTTGATCATTCAGTCATCTTGCTTACATTTACATTAAAGAGGCACTTGTAGGTCAGACAAATATAACATAACAGTTATAATGAAATAACCACAAATGTCTTTTCTGTGCTCACAGCATTATCAGTTTTATTCAACCCCCAAGTGACATTCAATCTTAGTACTTAGTACAGCATCCTTTTACAGTTATAACAGCTTTTAAACGTGAAGCATAGCTTGACACAAGTGTCTTGCAGCGATCTACGGGTATCTTCGCCCATTCTTCATGGGCAAAGGCCTCCAGTTCAGTCACATTCTTAGGCTTGCGCACTGCAACTGCTTTCTTTAAGTCCCACCAGAGGTTCTCAATCGGATTTAAGTCTGGTGACTGCGATGGCCACTCCAAAATGTTCCAGCCTTTCCTCTGCAACCATGCTCTAGTGGACTTGGAGGTATGCTTGGGATCATTGTCCTGTTGAAAGGTCCAACGTCTCCCAAGCCTCAGGTGTGTGACGGACTGCATCACGTTTCCATCCAATATCTCCTGGTACTGAAGAGAATTCATGGTACCTTGCACACGCTGAAGCTTCCCTGTACCTGCAGAAGCAAAACAGCCCCAAAGCATGATTGACCCTCCACCATGCTTCACAGTAGGCAAGGTGTTCTTTTCATCATAGGCCTTGTTCTTCCTCCTCCAAACATAGCGTTGATCCATGGGCCCAAACAGTTCTAATTTTGTTTCATCAGTCCACAGAACACTATCCCACAACTTTTGTGGTTTGTCCACATGGCTTTTGGCATACTGCAGTCGACTCTTCTTATTCTTTGGAGACAGCAAGGGGGTACGCCTGGGAGTTCTGGCACGGAGCCTTCATTACGCAGTGTGCGTCTTATTGTCTGGGCTGAAACTTCTGTACCCACATCTGACAAATCTTTTCTCAGTTCCTCAGCAGTCACACGGGGACTTCTCTCCACTCTACGCTTCAGGTAGCGCACAGCAGTCGAAGTCAGCATCTTCTTTCTGCCACGACCAGGTAGCGTTTCAACAGTGCCCTTTGCCTTGAATTTGCGAATGATGCTTCCTAAGGTGTCTCTTGGTATGTTTAACATCTTTGCAATCTTCTTATAGCCATTGCCCTTCCTGTGAAGAGAAATCACCTCTTCTCTTGTCTTCCTGGACCATTCTCTTGCCTTCACCATGTTTGTAACCACACCAGTAAATGTCTAGAAGGAGCTGAGTATCACAGTCATTTTAAAGCTGCCTAATTGGTGCTTATTATGCTTGATTGCTGCTCGGTGACATCCACAGGTGTTTTCAATACCTGATGGAAAGCACCTGTATGAACCTCTGTTCTTCAGAGTGGTAGTCTTTAAGGGGTTGAATAATTGTGGCAATGAAGAAACCACATAAGAACCATTTACTACTGTATTACATAAACAATTGATGTCATTTTAGTTGCATTTGGGTAGTTACAACGTCCTTGTAGGATTTGATTCTGAATACAATTCCAAATGTACACTATAGTCCCTAAACCCCTTTACAGCATTGGGGGTTGAATAATTTTGGTCACAACTGTATAGTCTGACTTAATACAGTTTGTAGGAGGGAAGGACTAACACATTGCCAGCATGATGGCTTCCCTCTCCATCTCCCCAATTGTTTTCTTTATCTCTTCTCCATCTCCCCCTCCCCCTCCCTCACATGGAACCTCCTTTTTCCATCCTATAAGGTGTTCATGTGAAGACAGTGCAGTGACAACGTGATAAACACGGAACCAAAGGTCACCCCGAGTTCTGGGAATAGAAATAATTGTGAAGGAGGAGGTGAAGCTCCAGATCCCGCCCCCAAGGAACTTGTTCTTCGGTCCATAGCGAATATATTGCATTCTGTCATGTTTCTGAATTTTGAAGAATTCCTAAAAATGACTAATTACACGGAGAGTAAACACGCCGGAGACGCACACAGCGATTTCTATTACTCGCCCTCCAGTAATTGGAACGAATGCCAAAGTCACAATTATTCCCTTCTCCATTCACTCCAATGATTCCCCCGGATCCTGGCAACTTTCTATACATTAGAATGGGGGGGCTGAGCTCCCATGTATGTATAGAGAGATATATACATTTGTGGTGAGGTTCACCCCCCCCCGCCTTTTCATATACACAACCTATATATAGGCTCTTGTGTGCTGGAATAATAAACAACCAAAGTTACCAAGGAAACTGGAGACATCACCTCCTCACCCCTCCGGGTTTAACACTGAAGTTTAATCTGCTTATATATTTTTTTTTCCTTTCATCAACATGATAATCACATTTTTATATAAAAACTCCCCATTTTTGCTACCTACCTTACCATCATCTGGGTCTCTGTGCTTCAATATGCAATGCAGGCAGAGCATGGCTGGTGGGAGGGGCCAGCAGGGGGCTGTACATAGCTTCCTGAAAACATCGCAGCACCTTGCCTCAGTATTCCTCTCAAGAGCCCTCAGTCCTGATGTGAGGAGTGGACTGGCTCTTGGCAGGAGTTATGCAAATATCAAAATGCATTGATGGGTGGGTGTCAGTCGGGGGGAGCGGGTGTTCCTAGGTAGGCAATATTTGCATAGGTAACACTCACATGCAGGGGCGGACTGACAACTCATGGGGCCCCTGGGCAATAGAGGATCATGGGGCCCCTGTGTCCTCGCCCACACTCAAACCACACCCAAAAGAGCCTATGAAAAGTACTAGGGGCATCTCATGGGGCCCCCTACTGACCCTGGGCCCGAGTGCCCAAATGGTCAGCCCGCCCCTTCTCACATGTGACACTGAGCCTCCATGATCAAAAAGAATTGAAGTCCAGTGAATGAAAGAGGCAGGGTGGGGGGTTAGGGGCAGTCAGGCTGGGGGGGGGACTAGATGATGCTGGATGTCCTCCTGCCAGGAAATGGGGCGGAGCTCTATCTGACTTGTTGCAGCTTCTAATGCACATTGTGAGAAGCTGCCAGTGTGCAGTGACATCAGAGGAACTCATCCCAGTCCAGGGGGAGGAGCCAGTACACCTGTGCAAGACTGGAGGGGAGGAGGCGGTACACCTGTGCAAGACTGGAGGGGAGGAGCCGGTACACCTGTGCAAGACTGAAGGGGAGGAGCCTGTACACCTGTGCAAGACTGGAGGGGAGGAGGCGGTACACCTGTGCAAGACTGAAGGGGAGGAGCCTGTACACCTGTGCAAGACTGAAGGGGAGGAGCCGGTACACCTGTGCAAGACTGGAGGGGAGGAGCCGGTACACATGTGCAAGACTGAAGGGGAGGAGCCGGTACACCTGTGCAAGACTGAAGGGGAGGAGCCAGTACACCTGTGCTAGACTGAAGAGGAGGAGCCAGTACACCTGTGCAAGACTGAAGAGGAGGAGCAAGTACACCTGTTCAAGCCTGAAGGGGAGGAGCCAGTACACCTGTGCAATACTGAATGGGAGGAGCCGGTACACCTGTGCAAGACTGAAGGGGGGGAGACGGTACACCTGTGCAAGACTGAAGGGGAGGAGCCGGTACACCTGTGCAAGACTGAAGGGGGGGAGCCAGTACACCTGTGCAAGACGGAAGGGGAGGAGCCTGTACACCTGTGCAAGACTGAAGGGGAGGAGCCTGTACACCTGTGCAAGACTGAAGGGGAGGAGCCGGTACACCTGTGCATCTACCTTCACACATTCCATGGTGACCAGAGTAAGGTGATTGTCCTACCTGCATGGATATCAATTTTGGGGATCTTCCTGGCACTCATTAGAACTGTAGAAGTGGTTGGAGAAGATACATTTCAGAACAAGTACAATGAATGAGGCACTTAACCCCCACACCTCTACGAGGTTCCTGGACATCTTGTTCCCAAACCATGGCCATTGACATGGACTTGCCCCCTTTGTGGCTATAACATCCTCCACTCTTCTGGGAAGACTTTCCAGAAAAGTATGGAGGGTGTCTGTAGAAATATGTGCCCATTTGTGAGGTCAGGTACTGATGGTGGATGAGACGGCCTTGACGGGTTGGCAACCATTCTTAAATTTATGGACAGTTTGTAAATATCGGCCAATTTACAAACTATCCGTAAATGTTTGTTACAGACAGTGGTCACCCATAAAAAACAAGGCTGTGGGACAGCTGTTCTGAAGCCGTCCAGGCTCCAATGAGGGGCGGGGGCTCGGTGACTTCCTGGCACTACTTAGCACCTTTTATGAATTGGGCAGGGCCAGGGGAGCTAGGAGTGACTCGGGAACAGAAGCGCCGTCGCTCACCAGGACTGCTGGTGGTGGTACCATGGGCAGAGCGCTCCTGCACTGATCACAGCCCTTGTTGCTACTGATCACCTGCCTGGTGGTGGGAAGGTTTTATACTTGATTTTGGAGGGTGTTTTCTGCCCATTTTGAGGTCAGGTACTGATGTTGGCTCACCATCAGTGGTCCAGTTCATCTCAAAGGTGTTCAGTAGGGTTGAGGTCAGGGATCTGTGCAGGACACTGAAGTTCCTCCACACCAAACTGGTCATCCATGTCTTTATGGAGCTGGCTTTGTACACATGGGCACAGGTATGCTGGAACTGAAAAGGGTCTTCACCAAACTGTTACCACAAGGTTGGAAGAGCCCAATTGTCTCCAATGTTATTGTATGATGGAGTATGACCAACACCCTTCCCTAGAGACAATATGCAGTTGCCCCCTTTGAGACTACAGCATCCTCCACTTTTCTGGGAAGGCTTTCCACTTGATTTTGGAGAGTGTCTGTGGGAAATTGTGCCCATTTGTGAGGTCAGGTACTGATGTTGGCTCACCATCAGTGGTCCAGTTCATCTCAAAGGTGTTCAGTAGGGTTGAGGTCAGGGATCTGTGCAGGACACTGAAGTTCCTCCACACCAAACTGGTCAAAACCATGTCTTTATGGAGCTGGATTTGTACACATGGGCACAGTTATGCTGGAACTGAAAAGGGTCTTCACCAAACTGTTACCACAAGGTTGGAAGAGCCCAATTGTCTACAATGTTACTGTATGATGGAGTATGACCAACACCCTTCCCTAGAGACAATATGCAGTTGCCCCCTTTGCGACTACAGCATCCTCCACTTTTCTGGGAAGGCTTTCCACTTGATTTTGGAGGGTGTCTGTGGGAATTTGTGCCCATTTGTGAGGTCAGGTACTGATGTTGGCTCACCATCAGTGGTCCAGTTCATCTCAAAGGTGTTCAGTAGGGTTGAGGTCAGGGATCTGTGCAGGACACTGAAGTTCCTCCACACCAAACTGGTCAAACCATGTCTTTATGGAGCTGGATTTGTACACATGGGCACAGGTATGCTGGAACTGAAAAGGGTCTTCACCAAACTGTTACCACAAGGTTGGAAGAGCCCAATTGTCTACAATGTTACTGTATGATGGAGTATGACCAACACCCTTCCCTAGAGACAATATGCAGTTGCCCCCTTTGCGACTACAGCATCCTCCACTTTTCTGGGAAGGCTTTTCACAAGATTGTGAAGGGTGTCTGTGGGAAATTGTGGAGGGTGTCTACGCAGGACACTCGAGTTCCTCCTCCCGAAACTTATCAAACCATGTCTTTATGGAGCTGGATTTGTACACAGGGGCACTGTTTTGCTGGAACTGAAAAGGGTCTTCTCCAAACTGTTACCATAAGGTTGGAAGAGCCCAATTGTCTACAATGTCTTTGTATGATGGAGTATGACCAACACCCTTCCCTAGAGACAATATACAGTTGCCCCCCTTTGCGACTACAGCATCCTCCACTTTTCTGGGAAGGCTTTCCACTTGATTTTGGAGAGTGTCTGTGGGAATTTGTGCCCATTTGTGAGGTCAGGTACTGATGTTGGCTCACCATCAGTGGTCCAGTTCATCTCAAAGGTGTTCAGTAGGGTTGAGGTCAGGGATCTGTGCAGGACACTGAAGTTCCTCCACACCAAACTGGTCAAACCATGTCTTTATGGAGCTGGATTTGTACACATGGGCACAGGTATGCTGGAACTGAAAAGGGTCTTCACCAAACTGTTACCACAAGGTTGGAAGAGCCCAATTGTCTACAATGTTATTGTATGATGGAGTATGACCAACACCCTTCCCTAGAGACAATATGCAGTTGCCCCCTTTGCGACTACAGCATCCTCCACTTTTCTGGGAAGGCTTTCCACAAGATTGTGAAGGGTGTCTGTGGGAAATTGTGGAGGGTGTCTACGCAGGACACTCGAGTTCCTCCTCCCGAAACTTATCAAACCATGTCTTTATGGAGCTGGATTTGTACACATGGGCACTGTTTTGCTGGAACTGAAAAGGGTCTTCACCAAACTGTTACCACAAGGTTGGAAGAGCACAATTGTCTCCAATGTTATTGTATGATGGAGTATGACCAACACCCTTCCCTAGAGACAATATACAGTTGCCCCCTTTGTGACTACAGCATCCTCCACTTTTCTGGGAAGGCTTTCCACAAGATTGTGGATGGTGTCTGTGGGAAATTGTGGAGGGTGTCTATGCAGGACACTCGAGTTCCTCCTCCCGAAACTTATCAAACCATGTCTTTATGGAGCTGGCTTTGTACACAGTCATGCCGGAACCGAAAATGATCTTCACTACTCTTCTCAGGTTTATCCTTTGTATGGAGATTTGTCTTCACCATCTGCCTCTGAGACGCCCGAAAAAAAATCTGGCTTTAGATACAATTGAATGTGTAGCTCTTATAATTTCCTGTATGGATCCATATTAAGAATCTCCAAAGGCGTCAGACATGTTCTAACAAATACTCTACATCCAACGTTTGTTGGACGCGACCTATAGGAGGCTGTCATTCAAATGCTATGGCTGACTTCCGTTCCATGGCTTGTGTTTGTCTTTACAGCCAATTCCGTTCGCATTATTTCTATCTGAGAGCCTTAATGTCTTAGAGGACCATCCCACCCCGAGACCATATCCAACCGGAGGAGTTGGCAGGAGTGAAGGACCTCAATCCCAGATGACTGGTTTGGAAATGTCAACCGTTGGGTCGTGAATTAAAATCGTTACACAAGTGGGTTGTCACCATGGGGTTTAGTTCTGTGCGATGCAGATAATGGAAATCAGGCTTCCTCCGCCTAAAGCAAACACAAGGAGCCTCTCCATCACTGGCCAGGAAAGGGAATGGCCCATCCATCTGACCGGCCAACACTGGCATGAAAGGGGCAAAGACGGACATACGTTATAAGTAGACACGGCTGAGGTTCACTTGAGGTTCACGGCTGTTCCCAAATCTGAAACTCCAAAGAATCTATTCTGGTCCCAGACACTAGAACCTTATTTTACTGCCAAGCTCAGCAGAGATCCTCCTTTGATGCAGAATTAGTGGGGGGCGGAAAGAAAGCGGGCACCAGTAAGCAACAAATTAAACCGTATTCCAATTATTGATGTATCTTCTTGAACCGCAATGACGGAGAGTGTAGTCGGTGATTGTAGGAGGCCTTTGTTGGTTGTCTCCGAGGGAATCCAACTTTCACTAATCTTTTTTTTTTTCTTTTTTGCCTTAAATCTCAACTCTGGCCGTCCCTTCATTCTTGAACAATTGTATAGTCTCTGCTCCTGGACTGAAATGGCTTACTCTGATTTCACTGCCCACAGACCTGGGAACGTAGCACAAGGATGGTGGGAACCCCTCATAATGGGCACAAGGGGTGTACAGACCCGGGAACTCAGCACAGGGATGGTGGGAGCCCCTCATAATGGGCACAGGGGGTGTACAGACCCGGGAACGCAGCACAGGGATGGTGGGAACCCCTCATAATGGTCACAGTGGGCATACAGACCCGGAACTCGGCACAGGGATGGTGGGAACCCCTCATAGTGGGCACAGCGGGCATACAGACCCGGGAACTCGGCACAGGGATGGTGGGAACCCTTCATAGTGGGCACAGCGGGCGTACAGACCTGGGAACTCAGCACAGGGATGATGGAAACCCCTCATAATGGGCACAGTGGGTGTACAGACCCGGGAACTCAGCACAGGGATGGTGGGAACCCCTCACAATGGGCACAGCAGGTGTAGAGACTCGGCATAGGGATGGTGGGAACCCCTCACAATGGGCACAGCAGGGGTACAGACCCAGGAACTCAGCACAGGGATGGTGGGAACCCCTCATAATGGGCACAGCAGGTGTACAGACCCAGGAACTCAGCACAGGGATGGTGGGAACCCTTCATAATGGGCACATCAGGTGTACCGACTTGGCATAGGGATGGTGGGAACCCCTCATAATGGGCACAGCAGGTGTACAGACCCAGGAACTCAGCACAGGGATGGTGGGAACCCCTCACAATGGGCACAGCATGTGTACAGACTCGGCATAGGGATGGTGGGAACCCCTCATAATGGGCACAGCAGGTGTACCGACTTGGCATAGGGATGGTGGGAACCCCTCATAATGGGCACAGCAGGTGTACAGACCCAGGAACTCAGCACAGGGATGGTGGGAACCCCTCATAATGGGCACAGCGCGTGTACAGACTCAGCATAGGGATGGTGGGAACCCCTCACAATGGGCACAGCAGTGTACCGACTTGGCATAGGGATGGTGGGAACCCCTCATAATGGGCACAGCAGGTGTACCGACTTGGCATAGGGATGGTGGGAACCCCTCATAATGGGCACAGCGGGTGGAGTTCATCTTTGACACCCTGAGTTTCTGTATCTGGCAGGGCAGTATGTCTTCATTCCACCTTCATAGCCGGCGGCTCTCTTGGAGTTTATATAATATCTGCTTTTCCAGGAACCTCGGTGGCCCCCCCTCCCCCCCCTCCAGAGACCCAGCGACACGGAATCAGAACCAAGCAAACCTTCAATCCGTTGCTTAGGCATCCCATGCTGCCCGCGGCTCTCGCCAGGAAGTGAGCTGATGAGAAGCTTTTTCTGCGTCTTTTTCCTTTTGGGTCATATTTCAGCTTTGACTTTTCGCAGAACGTTGGGATTCCAGCAGCGATTTCATTCTGTCGGGCTAAGTGGGCTCTGGAGATTTCCAATCACAATAAATATTCTGGATTCTAACTCAATACTCACATTAGTCTCCCCGTCCCGCGACTCGCCTCGTCGTCTGATAAGTCAGCGCGTCTTCTGAGCAGACAAAGCGATGAATCCCCGAATTAGGAGACATCCGAAGCATGAGATGGGGGATCTGCGGCTGAATTGGATTTGTAAACATGAGGCCGGGAAAAAGATGTCCTGCGGGCTGCAATATATCGCCGCCGCCGCCGATTCGTACTGTGCGCAATGGGTGTAAAGGGCGTGTCCAGATAGTATCTAAATTCACCCCCTCCCCCACCCAATTGGTATAGTATGCGCAATGGCCATAAAAGGGTATGTCCAGTTATAATCTCAATGTACCCCCCCCAATTGGCTGAAGAGGTCTAAAGGGTATGTCCAGGCATCATCTATATGTACCCCCCAATTGGTAAAGTATGCGCAATGGCTGTAAAGGGCGTGTCCAGTTATAATCTCAATGTACCCCCCAACTGGTAATGTACATGAAATGGCTGTAAAGGGCGTGTCCAGATAGTATCTAAATTCACCCCCTCCCCCACCCAATTGGTATAGTATGCGCAATGGCCATAAAAGGGTATGTCCAGTTATAATCTCAATGTACCCCCCCAATTGGCTGAAGAGGTCTAAAGGTATGTCCAGGCATCATCTATATGTACCCCCCAATTGGTATAGTATGCGCAATGGCTGTAAAGGGTATGTCCAGGTATAATCTCAATGTACCCCCCCAATTGGCTGAAGAGGTCTAAAGGGTATGTCCAGGCATCATCTATATGTACCCCCCAATTGGTATAGTATGCGCAATGGCTGTAAAGGGTATGTCCAGGTATAATCTCAATGTACCCCCCCAATTGGCTGAAGAGGTTAAAGGGTATGTCCAGGCATCATCTATATGTACCCCCCAATTGGTAATAGTATGCGCAATGGCTGTAAAGGGTATGTCCAGTTATAATCTCAATGTACCCCCCAACTGGTAATGTACATGAAATGGCTGTAAAGGGTATGTCCAGATAGTATCTAAATTCACCCCCTCCCCCACCCAATTGGTAAAGTATGCGCAAGGGCTGTAAAGGGTATGTCCAGTTATAATCTCAATGCACCCCCCCAATTGGTAACATACATGCAATGGCTGAAGAGGTGTAAGGGAATGCCCCGGCATCGCTCATATATACCCCAAATCAGTCAAATTCGTACAATGACTGCAAAGAGTATGTCCAGGCATCATCTAAATGTACCCCCCAATTGGTAAAGTATGTGCAATGGCCGTAAGGGTATGTCAAGGCATTACCCACCAGGGGCAGACTGACAATTCATGGGGCCCCCGGGCAATAGGGGATCATGGGGCCCCTGTGTCCTTGCCCAAACCCAAAAAAGCCTATGAAAAAGGTACCAGGGGCATCTCATGGGGCCCCCTACTGACCCCCAGGCCCTCGGGCAGTACCCGAGTTTCCAAATGGTCAGTCCGCCCCTGTTACCCACATTTATCCCCCAATTGGTATAGTATGCGCAATGGCTGTAAAGGGCGTGTCCAGTTATAATCTCAATGCACCCCCCCAACTCCAGATAGTAATGTACATGAAATGGCCGTAAAGGGTATGTCCAGATAGTATCTAAATTCACCCCCTCCCCCACCCAATTGGTAAAGTATGTGCGTAAAATGGCCGTAAAAATGTGCAATGGGTATGTCCAGATAGTATCTAAATTCACCCCCCCCCCCCACCCAATTGGTAAAGTATGTGCAATGGCCGTAAAGGGTATGTCCAGGCATTACCCACATTTATCCTCCAATTGGATTCAGTGCGGCATAATTTTTTAAAATTTGATCAGCGTTTCTAACAGGTAGGGCAACCTATTCAAATGGATGGGGCGCCCTGCAAGTGACATTCAGTGTGCAAACATGAACGCATAGGTGTGAACCGAGTGTAAATGCACCCCCCCCCACCCCCACCATTTGGTTAAATATGTGCAATGGCCATGAAGGGAATGTCCAGGCAGTAAACAAATATACCCCTCCAATTGATGAAGTTTGCACAATGGCCATAAAAGGTATGTCCACGCAACGGCCAATTTTACCCCCCCCCCCCCTCCATAAGTAAAGTATGCACAATGTCCGTAAGAGATGTATCCAGGCATTACCCAAATTTACCCACAATAGGTAACTTCTGGACAATGGTTGTGAAGGTATGTCCAGACATTACCTAGATTTACCCCATAGCCATAAAGGCATGGCCCGGGCATTAATTAAATGTATCCCCCAATCGGTAAAGTAAATGCAATGACTGTAAAGGGCGTGTCCAGGTATTATTCAAATATAGCCTCCACCCCCCCTTCCCAACTGATAAAGTATGTGCAATGGCCATAAAGGGTCCAATTGGTAAATTATGCACAAGCTATAAAGAGTGTCAGACATTGTCAAATATACCACCCTCCCCCAATGAGTAAAAAACATGCAATGTACGTAAGGGGTGTGTCCAGCATTTCCCAACTTTACCACCCCCCCCCCCCCCCAATTGGTAAAGTATGCATCATGGCTGTAAAGGGTATATCCAGCCAATACCCAAATCCCCCCAATTGGTAAATTCCACAAAATGGCTGTAAAGGGTATGTCCAGATATTATCCAAAAATTACCTCCCCCCCACCCAAATCAGTCAAATATGTGCTAAAGGGTATGCCCAAGCATTGACCAGCCCCCTAATTAAAGTATGCGCACTGGCCATAAGGGGTATGTCCAAGAATGACCCAAATCTACCCCCGACTGGTAAATATGTATACTGGCCATAAGGGGTATGCCCATTCATTACCCAAATCTGCCCCCGATTGGTAAATATGTATACTGGCCATAAGGGGTATGTCCAGGCATTACCCAAATCTGCCCCCGATTGGTAAATATGTATACTGGCCATAAGGGGTGTATCCAGGCATTACCCAAATCTACCCCCGATTGGTAAATATTGCACTGGCCATAAGGGGGGAGGGTATACCAGGCATTACCCAAATCTGCCCCCGATTGGTAAATATGTGTACTGGCCATAAGGGGTATGTCCAGGAATTACCCAAATCTACCCCCGATTGGTAAATATGTGTACTGGCCATAAGGGGTATGCCCAGGCATTACCCAAATCTACCCCCGATTGGTAAATATGTGCGCTGGCCATAAGGGGGTATCCAGGCATTACCCAAATCTGCCCCCGATTGGTAAATATGTATACCAGGGGGTACATTACCCAAATCTACCCCCGATTGGTAAATATGTGCGCTGGCCATAAGGGGTATGCCCAGGCATTACCCAAATCTGCCCCCGATTGGTAAATATGTGTACTGGCCATAAGGGGTGTCCAGGCATTCCAATCTGCCCCCGATTGGTATTACCCAAATCTGCCCCCGATTGGTAAATATGTGCGCTGGCATAAGGGAGCGGAGGGGAACCATAAGGGGGGGGGGTATAACAGGCATTACCCAAATCTGCCCCCGATTGGTAAATATGTGTACTGGCCATAAGGGGTATGGGTCCAAGAATTACCCAAATCTGCCCCCGATTGGTAAATATGTGTACTGGCCATAAGGGGTATGCCCTTCATTACCCAAATCTGCCCCCGATTGGTAAATATGTGTACTGGCCATAAGGATTGGTATGTCTAAGGTATTACCCATAATATGGATGCCCCCCAAATCAATGGATGGAAGTACTTGTAATGTATTGGAGAAAGTATGTTTAGGTATTACCCAAATGTCCCCCAATCAGTAAAGTTCAATACATTCAATAGCCACGGCTCAATGGACATTGGGTAAAGTATGGGCAATGTCCATAAA